CTTCTGGTACAGGATCAGAGCCCCTCGCTGGTCAGAAGTCTCCCTGCCCGCAGTCTTAGCTTGCTGCAGGCCGGCTATTAGAACAAAGGGACTCCCGTCCCTTTGCACTCACTGCCTGTCCTGGCCCGAGGCGCCCACCCCGGCTGTGATGGAGGAATTTGCTTATGCAGCTTTTAACGTCTTTCTCTCCCCTTCTTCCCTCCTCCCATTGAAGTCACCTAAAATCCACAGTTGTTTTCCAGGATCTACCACTTCTCCTGGCCCCTCTTCTTTTCTTTGAGCCCTACAGATTCCAACACACTTTGAAACACGGAATCTCTAATTACCTCAGGTTATCAGGAGACCCAGAGTCTTGCCAAATGCCTGGCTGAGGTTCTTCACACACCCTGTAGAACCCTGAGACTCAGGACAAGACAACACTAGCAGAATAAACTTGTTCAAGCTCCCATAATAAGCTGCTGCTGAAGGCACCAAAACTGTAACTGGCAAACAGAAGAACTGGGATAGAGACTATAGTCCCAAATATCATACAAACAGATAAAATTGGTATTCCAACCTTGTTATGAATCAGTCTATTACTCAACATTTTTAAAACATCCCATAAAGGAAGAAACATGTCTTTAGAATGTTTTGAGAAAGAATGAGTAATTCGACCAATAAACTAACTCCAGATGTACCAAATTGCAATAAAGAAGTAAAAACCTCCCAACTCACACATATGTCTGTTGTTTCTCTGCAGTCATGAGAAGTAAACCACAGAACTCAACACACCCATTGATGAGCTTATTAAGGAAGAGCAGAGATAATGGGGACTCTTGATGCTGTGCTGTCAATGGCTCTCTCACTGTGCCACTGCTATGCTGCTCCTGTGTGGCTGGTATGCACCTCACTGCTGTGCTTTCAGTGGCCCTCTCGCTGCTGTGCCACTGGTGACTGAAGAAACATTTACTCCTTATCTGAACACCTTACTGGAGAGACAGGAGCTGAGGTTTGGGTAGGGTTTTAGAGATGGGAATGCTTTCATTCTGTGACTTAGTTATATTAACTTAGTTGTGTATATCCCTTGTCATCGATCTAAACCTGTTAGGATCCCGAGGATATATCTTCATCACTGTTCCAAATTAGTCATACTAAAAAAAATCATGTTTATTACTTTTATTAATTTTTTCTTTTTTATTTTTTTAATCTTAAGTTATAGTCTCATTATGAATCTCTGGCTGTCATGGAATTCTATGTCTAGACTAGGATCTTGTAGAAAATTAGAGTGATTTTGCCACCCTATCTCCAATGTACCTAGATTAAAGTTGGGCACATCACATACACTAAATTAGTACATTTTTGTTGTTCAAAACAGGGTTTCTTTGTGTAGCTTTGGCTGTCCTGCAACTAGCTTTGTAGACCAGGGTTACCTTGAGTTTATAGAGAACTACCTTTATCATACCATGTAGTTTAAAATTTTTTTGAACACCTAATTCTGCTTCTGTTGCTCAGTATTGAAAAGAAAGTCCTGCAACTGCTTCAAGGCTGGGCCTTAAGTGGTCAGTGAGAAGGAAAGTAGATGAGTGTCCTCTAACTAATCTGTATTTTATTGTGAACTTACAAATGAAGAGGGACTCATGTAAGAACTGAGTTCACTGACAAACTGTAATTCAGGTATAGTTCCAGCACAAAGAGCTATGGGCAAGAAGGAGCATGAAAACTTTCCCCCTTAGACCATAGCTCACATAAGAAATAGGTAGTGAGTGAGTCAATCAATTTTAGATGATTGCTAAATGTTCTGACTGGCCATTTCTTGCATCCACAGAGTAAGGAACCAAGAAGTGGGATAAAGAACCAAACTTATGAAACCAAAGTACAGTAGTTGAACTAGTCTGACCAAAATTGAACTGGATAAAATGATATTCCCCTGCCTAAAAGAACTGTTATTTTACATATTTAAGATGTACAGCCTGAGACAAAATGTGTTACTAATCCTTTGTGTTCACTAATATAAATCACTAAACTTTGGAGCACATAACCATAAACCTGTTTCACCTTTTCAGATTATATTTTGTGGATTATAATTACATCATTTACATCATCCCTTTCTTGCCTCTAATACTTTCCAGAAATTAGAAAAATCATGAATTTTGCTTTATCAAGAGTCGCTGTTTGAATGTGACCTAGATTTGGCTTCAGAATATCTGAGCTATGAGGAAAAGGGTGATTACACTGGTCAGTGACTCTATACTAGAACACACACACAAGGGACACCATATTTTGGAAGAGGAACAGGAAGTACTCTGAGAGACTGGAAGAGTTTCTACTAAAATACCAATTTTCCTGACTAGAGCCCTGTGTTCCCCTAGTGTGGAATGGCAGAGCTGGGAAGGGCTGTGCTGGCTTAGTCATTTGATTTCTGCTCATCTAATAGGGGAACTGCTACTGTCTTGAGTCTCAGCTGGGCAATTCTAGCTATTGAGGGACTCTGGGCAAGCCTAGAAATCAGGGGCACCAGTGGGAAGTAGATTGTGAGCCATGAGGGAACCAATTGGGAGTCATGAGAGTTGTTTTTCTTTTTCCCTAAATTGTGTACTTGATTTCTACCTCCAGCTCTTATCCCACCTCTGAAGAGGTAACACTAACTACAATTTTGGGATTGGGGCAATGACTGATCTGGTTTGTTTCAGCTGAATTTGGGGCATCATGTGTTAGTATTATGATACCCTTCCATAGAGCTTCTCATAAAGACTAAACTCTCAGATGTAGACAGAGTTGTCTGGAAAGATGTACAGTTGTCTGGGAAGCCCTGACTTATCCAAAGTCCATAAGATATTCTTGATGGGCTCAAAATAGCTTCCATCTATTAGAGGTTTCCATTTAACTTCTAAAGTTGGTCTTCAGAGTGATGAACCCACAACCAACTGTCACACCCTTTTATACCTGTTTCATCAGCCAAAAGTCAGCATGATGCTTTTCCCTTGTGGCTTCTGGATAGGGAGAGGAGAGGTATTTAGCATCATTTAATTTGGAGGTTAAAACAATCATGGGCCTGTCCTTCTTTGCTGTGTGCAGGTACTCTAGGAGCCAAGGTCTGTTGTCTCACATCTGTACAGAATCTTTTTATCAAGAAAATATTAGTGAGATTTGCTATCTGAATAACATCTCATGTAGACTTACATCTAATGCCTATAGAGTGTGAACCCTTGTGTTGTTACTAATTCTCTTAGTCTTTGATTAAATTTTCTCCTTCAGTACTGAACAATGCAGGTTACCAGAATTAATCTTTCTTTCTGTGTTGTCAAGGCCAGTTGAGCATCTAGTCTTGTGAGGTCACTTGTGCTTGGAAGGAATCTCAGATTCTTCAAGTCTCTCTATTATCAGTTGTCCATCAATGTGAAGATAAGTCAAAAGCTTTGCTTTATGTACTGTGGCTTCCTTTGAAGCCTTGAAGAAATCTTTCCCACATTGAGCCTCCTTTTGTAGACTTGATAATGATTCCAACTCATTGATTGGGTTACCCATGGCCTCCATGAACAGCACAATAAATGATCAATAAATAGTCTTTGTTCCTAGGGACCTCACTGACCTTGTATAGAAAGGAGAGAAATATTCTGCCTTTTGGTCCCTCTAATGACATTAGAATAGCCTCTAAGAATGATTATTAAACACCTAGAAGATCAGTTTTATACTAGTTTTGTACTTTTACTACTTTATAATACTTCAATAGTCAGATAAACTAAATAAACTTTGTTTGATATACCTTTTAACCAGTCCTTGAAATAGTTGGAATCTGACCTTGCAAAGTTTAATAAATATATGATCCCTAAGTCTCATCCTTATGTACCTTAAACAACTTACTCAGACCTTCGTAGCTTGTAAAAACCTTTCCAGTCTTCTTTATCCTGGAGCAATCCAGTCATAATCATGTTCATATATCTAAGTTCTTTTTTACTATGGTCATTTACACATTTATACTATTCTAACATGTTCTTTTTATGTACTGCTTCCTTTTTCTAATACCATGAGAAGTAGGAACATTAACAAATATGTTTATGATCTGCTGTGAGAATTTTCTCCCCTGTGAAGGGGGTGGAAGCAATTTCTATCCTATAACCATAAGCCCCACTGATGATACAAAGTACAATTTCATCAAAGTCCATCCTGGAGACTCAATGAGTTTTTTGAGCTTACTTATTGAGCATGGTTGAAAGGGAACTTACAAGGGTTTTGATTCTGTTGTTGTTTGTATCACAATGGCCCCCAAAGTCCCATGGAGAGTGGCACTATTCAGAGGTGTGGCCTTGTTGAAGTATGTCATAGTCACTGCTGATTTGGATGAAGTCCTGATTAACATACTACTTGTCTTTGGGGTATTTCTGAGGCAGCCCTCCCTCAGAGTTCTACTTTGTGTGACTCACTATCTCCTAAGCATTGGTCAATCCTTTATATTACCATTTCTACTCTTCTACATTGTGACTGAGTAGTGGAGTACTGTACAGTACATGAGATGCTGATTACGACTTCCACAAATTAACTCCAAATGGACCTTACACCTAAACATCAAATGTTAAGTGCAGAACTTCTGGAAGACACTTGAGACCAGGCCTCCCTGAGTTTGGCAACCTGCCTAGGCTTTGGGAGGTTTCTCTAAGGCCCTGATGTATAGAGCAATAACAGAGCTCTGTCTCTCATCTCAGGAATACGCTGGGGAGAGCTAGTAAAAATGTGAAGCCTGGCCTTTGGAAAAGGGTTGTTTCCAATCCTCAGACCCAGGACTTTCACAAAAGGGCGGAAACTGTGGTTATCAGTACTGACACCACTGTGGACTTTGTTTATGATATTCTTGAATTACCCAATGTTCTTCTTGTGCGACGTTGTCTGATTGGCCTCTTTCTGAATTTGTATACTTCCTTTGAAAACCGAACCCATTGATTTACATTAGCAAGATACTTGCTGTTGAATTTGGCATAGATCTCCAGTCAGCCTGGGACAGGTCTGTCTTTAGATTAGAAGCCAGTGCTGCACCATGGTGCTGAGTCCCTTCTGCTCAACTGGTCCCGTCACTCAGACCTCAACAGCCAATCAGAGCCTCCAGCAGACCCGCCAGTCAGATGGGAGGGTTTTTCCGGTAGCCAGACTTTCCTTCCAGTTCAGCTCTTTCAAGCTCTTCCGCTTGTGCACTCTTGTTGGCAGAAATCATGTCGATGGTGAGTGAGGGGTTGCTCTCCACAGACGGGAGGGGTGCCTGGGCTTGACGAGCGAGGGGCCGATGTCTCCAAATTAGGTGGAGCGGCCGCTGAGGCTCCCGGCTGGTGTGGTGGGCTGGGTGGGAGCCATTGGGCAGAGTTTAACGTCTTCCTGCCTCAGTAGTCCTAAGTTAGCGTCTTTCTGCCTCAGTAGTCCTAAGTGATCCTTGCAGCTCTCTGCTGGCAGCCTCTGAATCACTTCACTACCTGGGCTTTGTCTGCACAGAGCAGAGCGTCAGGAGCCGCAGATGGTGGTGTCTGTCGTGGTTATATCGTCGAATGTGGAGAGAGATCACCACATTCGCTAAATGTGGAGACTCCTGGTCTTTTCTGGGTCTTCAGAAGTTCTTCACTTTTAACATTTAGGTTTGGGGTCTATCTGTAGTTAATTTCGTGAGGCTTATAAACGGTTTCTCCTGTGTAGAGTAGCGCTCCACTACTAAACTGTGATGTAGAAGAGTATAGTTGATAATAGAATTAATGGTATAAGGATTTGCCGGTACTTAGGAGACATTAAGTTACACAAAGTAGAATTTAAGTGAGGGAGGGCTGTATCCCAAATTTCCTAAGATGAGTAGCATGCGCACCATCCCTGTTAGAGATTAGTATGATGAGAAGCAAATGTTTGTTCACCAGGATTAATCAGCCTTTAAGGTACATTCCTACAACAAATGAAACAACCATGATTTACAACCAGCCAGAAGACCCACTTCCCCATCAAAGGCCTCTGACCTGCTGCTCAGGGGCCGTTACAGGGTCACAACCTTGTGCACCAGGAGAGTATAATTAATTCTAGAACAGCTGCATTTCTCAGCTCTTAGGAAATCAGTTGTAACTCAGTGTCCCCTGTGCTGATTGAGGTACACTTGAATCCTGTCTCCAGCCCCACAGGGCATTACCCTTGCTCTAGGCTAACCACTATAATTTTTTGGTATGCTGCACCACAGAGCTCTAAAATTACCAGTTTGAGTCATACAGTGAGACTGTCTATTGCAATAACAATAAAAGGGTTGTGGAGCATGGCTTCTTCCTTCAGACCAGAAAAGTAGGAACGTGTACTGTGTACACTGGAGCGGGTAAACACACTGGACAATAGCTAGATCTTAGACTGAAGCTTAAGGCCGTGGGCTGCAGGGGTATACATTATAAAGAAGGGCCTGATGGGGCACAGTGAGTGACTTTCTGCGATTTCCCATTGTACATTAATTCCTTCCTTGTGAATGAAGACAGACACCGGTGGGTGTACAGTTTAGGGAGGAGAGCTTGAACTACTAAATATTTAGTTTGCAATTAGTGAACTCTCCCATGCAGATATGTTCAATCCTGTTTGACACAGTGAAGTCAGCTCAGATGTTTGAGACACAGGCCATTGGCTGTAACTCCATGTGTCAGGTTACAGCACTCAGCAGCTAACATTTTACATGGGACAAAGTCATGTGTTCTCTCATTAATGGCATTCTCCCTACCAGGGAAGTGCTACTCTGTTTCAAAGTCAGTATAACTGAGTGTTCAATTATTTTTATCATTTTAAGGAGTCAATTATTGGTTATCATTTTTTAGATTTCATTTTCTTCAGTGGAATTACTGTTATAATCTTTTTGTTTCTATTTTCCAATGTTTCCCAGTTTTTGAATTTCATTCCAGTTTTTAAGTCCTGTTTATTTATTCATTTATTTATTTATATCAGTTTAGAGCAGTGATTCTCAACCTAATGGTCCATGACTCCTTTTGGGGGGAATCAAATGAACCTATCACAGAACTAGCCTAAAGTCATGAGAAAGTACAGATATTTATATTATAACTCATACCAGTAGCAAAAATATAGTTATGAAGTAGCAGTAAAAATAATTTTGTAGGTGGGGAGATCTCTACATCATGAGTAACTGTATTAAAGAGTCACAGCACTAGAAAAATTGAGAACAACTGATTTAGATTAATGTCTCCTGTAGTTCATTCTTGTATCATACTATGTAACTGAGAATTGCTGTGAACACCTAATCCTGCCTCTGCTACCCAGTGCTGGAAAGACAGTTCTGCAACTCCTACCAGGCTGGACCTTGACTGGTCTGTGTGAAGGAGAAATAGATCAGTGAATGAGTATCTTCTAATTTCTGTAGATTTTATTGTGAATTTACAAGTGAAATGGGAACTGTGTAAGAATTGAGTTCACTGACCCACTATAAACTAAACCCAGTATAACTATACTAAACCCAGTATAGTCACAGCAGACAAAGGATCGGCAAGAAGAAGGGTAAAAGCTTTCCTGCTGTGATGGTAGTTGACATTAGCTGTGAGTAGTAAGGTGATCAATTTCAGATGTTTCATAAATGTCCTGTCTGGCCATTTCATGAATCCACAGGCCACACAGAGGACCTGGTGCGTTGGAGTAGGAACAGGAAGTGCTCTGGGAGAATGGAAAATTTTACTAAACTACAAATTTCCCAGATTAGGGTCCTGTCTGACTATAGTGTGGAAGAACAAACCTTGAAGATCTTTGATTTCTGCGTCATTTGATCTCTGCTCACCCAGTAGGGTAACTGCTAATGTCTTGAAGTCTAGCTGGGTGTTCCTAGAGGGACTCTGGTTGGCAATTAGAAGCACAAGAGGCAGTTTACAGGTTCTTTCCAGGATTCTCTTGTTCTGCTGTATGGAGCTGTAAGGAGGATCACAAACCATGCCATGGTGAATGTAGAAGCAACTGTCCTCAGACCAGGAAGAACAGGTTGGCTGAGCTGTCAGACCTGCTTGGACAGGGATGAACCATGAGCCAAACAGGTTCTATTGTTCTTTGTGGACACCTGGGTAGTGGCCCTTGGCCTCTGATCTTTTTTGAGTGTGGGGGAGGCTCTGCCATCCTGGCATGGGAGACTATGAGCTTGTAATATTGTTGCCTCACACTATGCAATGGGGAATTGCTTTGAAAACCTAATCCTGCCTCTGCTGCCTAGTTCTGGGTAGATAGTCCTTCAACTTCTTCAGGACTGGGCCTTGACTGGTCAGTGGGAAGGAAAAATAAACCAGCTAAGGAGTGACCTCCAGTCTCTCTGACTTTCAGTGTATGATTATAGATGAAAAGGGTGCATACATAGGTAAGCTTGAAGCTGGTAGATTCACAGTGCAGGAAGGGAGAGACAGGAAAGTGGCTGAGAACTTTCCTACTTCAACCGTAGTTGAGATTAGCAATGCGGAAGTAGGTAATCAATTTTAGGTGCTTCATAAATGTCCTCATGGTCATTTCTTGCTGTCCACAGACCAGGCAATCAAGAATCTGGATAAAGAACCAAACTTGTCTTGAAACCAAATTGCTGTAGTTACAGTAGTTCAACCAAAATAGATCTGAGTAAAATGTGGCTCTGCCTAACAGGACTGTTATTTACTGGTTTTAAATATACACCCAGAGATAGAAGGTTTGAGAAATCTTTGATGTGCTCTAATATAAATCCCTTGTTTCTGAAGCACGTGGCCATAAATCCTGTTTCTACTTTTCAAAAATAATTTTTGAGATTATAACTATATCATATCCACATTCTCTTTCCTATCCCCAAGCCTTACTATGACCCTTTATTATCTTCTAATTCATGGCCCATTTTTCTTTGACAAGAATTGTGAATGTGACCTGTGTTTGTCTGCAGGATTTCCCAGGTATGAGGTGATGGGTGGCTGCACTGCATATTGAGAGTGTAATGGAATGTGCATATGAAGGACCCTGTGCTTTGGATGAGGAACAGGGTATGCCCTAGGAAAGTGGATGAATGTCTACTAAAATACAAGCTTTCTGGACTAGGGCCCTGTCCACTGGACTGGAAGGGCCGAGCAGAAAGTTCTGTGATGTCTGAGTAATTTGATCTCTGATTACCCAGTAGTGGAGCTGATAATATTCTGAGGCCCAGCTGGGTGGTGTTAGCCACTGAGGGACTCTGGGAAGGCTTAGCAAGCAGGAATAATAGTGGGCAGTAGCTTACAGGTGGTTCTTTCTAGGATTCTTCTCTGCTTCTGTTGTAATGAGTTGTAAGGAAGACCACAAGCTATGCCAGAGTGAGTGTAGGCTGTTCAGAGAAGGTCTGTTGAGCTGTCATTTCTGCTGGGATTTGGATGGACCATGAGCCAGGCTGTGGTTCTATTGCTCTATGTAATGACCTGGGCAGTGGTCTTTGTCTTCTGAGCCTCCCTGTATATGGATTTCCTGGGGAGAGGGAGACCCTGCAGCCCTGGCATGGTAGGATATTATGCTTGTAATATCACTGTCCAGTGTTGATAGGGGAGTTCAGCCAATCATATTTGTTTTCGGGGCATGCCGCCCTCAGGCAAAAGCCTGCCTATAAACCTAGCAAATGCACTCTGCTAGCTCTCTTTTCGCCTGGTTCCTGCGTCTGGACAGATCGGTTGGATTCTGGTGTAAGCTGTTGTAAGTCTTACTTCTGTTTATTAAAGCTGTATATTTTGTATCAAGATAGTCTGGGGACTTTTCTTTACCAATCGCCCTGCAGCTTCACAGTGTAGAAACAGAGTCCTGCTTTTGGTATGCAGTGGGAAGACAGATTTGAAAACTGATAATCTGGTTTCTAGAAGTTCTGAATATTGCAGCCTATTTTCAAGTTTGTCTTATAAATGTTTCAAATAGTTTAAAAGCAGGTAGAACTACAGTGATGTTGATTTAGCAATGCAAGATTAAAATGTTTCTAACTTTCTGCTACCACCAGCTGCAATAGTGTGATTCAGTGATGTTTAGTTCCAGGGAACAAAGGGAGTTTCAGAGCTGCAGAGGTTTCTTAGGTGTGCACGGTGTTGGGCAGGTAGGTAGAGCAGAATCTATATCTTGTGCTATAATCCATTTGACAGGAAGCAGAAATTATTCTATATTGTTTTGGGATTGGGCATCAGTATCTCTGGGTTTACCTGAAAACAGAAGGAGGTATAAGGACTTGCAGGACCATAGCAGTAGATCATCTCTTTTTGCAGAAAAGGTTCTAGAGCATGGGGCTTCTCAGGAAGAAATACCAGTAGCTGGAACGTCAATAACAAGAGTTTAAGGGTTACTTTGAGTTAATTTTGTGAAAATTGTGAAGTCTTTATTTAATTTCTATACACATAGAATCATAGGTAGCTGGATAACATTGGTCAAGATCACACGTTTCCTGACTATGGTTTCTTTGGTCTTTTGATTAATACCTGACTACATTTTTCTACCTTTGTTCTTGGCTTTTTCTCTCCATTCTCTTTATTCTTTCCCAAATATCATACACATTCTTGATTGACAGCTTTGTGATAATTTTTTTCCCCCAAGACAGCTCTGTGAACCATTCTCTCTGCCCCAGCTCCAGACACTTGGCATGTCTATGTCTCCATTAAGCAATTTGTAACATGGTGTACACAGACCTCATTTCAGTGCAGTACCTCTGAAAAGAGTCAGAGCTATTTGTGCCAGCACAGACCAGGAACCCCGTCCCTAAAGAAGTTGTGCATCAATTGTTGCCGATGCTAAGTCAGGAAGATCTCTCTCCTAGGAGCTGTGACACCCTTGCTTGCTGCCAGCTAACAAAGCCCATCTAGAAAAATATGTGGCTTCCAAGAAGTCTTACTTAACTCTGTTCCTTTATGTCTAGATTTTTTTTTAACTCTCTCAGGTTTTTTTTTTTTGTTCATGAAGTTGCCTCATTTTGACACCATTCTGTTGACAGAGGCTCTTTGTTTGTTTCCTGGCTGCCCAGAAATAATTATACAGAAACTATATTGACTACAATGCTGCTTGGTCAATAGCTTTGGCTTCTTATTAAGTAACACATCTTAAATTAACCCATTTCTATTAATCTGTGTATTGCCAATGGTTGTGGCCTACCAGTAAGGTTCCATCTGGCATCTGTCTCCTTTGGCAGCTGCATGGTGTATCCCTGACTCTCCTTTCTTTTCACCTCTATCTTTGCTTGGAATTCCCACCTTGCTCTATCATGTGCTGCCATAAGCCCAAAGCAGTTTTTTGTATTAACCAATAGGAATAAAACATATTTACAGCTTACAGAGGGGATTCCTGTATCATCTTGGAAGCTACAACTGTGTTGATCCTAGAAATTGTCATTATCTTCTATTTTTGAAAAATAAGGAGCATTTCTTAAAGTGCTAATCACTTCTTATGAACTTAAGCTGTGCCATTGGTAGAGCAAATATGGTCTGCCTGCTTGTTCCACATAGTACAACATGGCAGAGGCATATTTGCTGCCTCCACGAGCCATGTACATTGCCCCATTTTCAGGCATACACGGGGTCTAAGTTGCCATTAGCAATCTGCTCACAGACCCCATAGTCAGTCCTCCAGGAAGAGTCAGAGTTCACTCTGGCAGCACAGTCCAGAAAGCCAGCATTTCAAAATCTTCAGCTTTTTTTCTGTTACTTCTAAATCAGGAAAACTTCTCTAAAAGGAACCGCAGCATGTTACCAGTAATCAAAGCCCATTTGGAGAAATAAATGTGGCTAAACTTCATTTTTTAGTGTCTAGAATTCCTTTCCTAGCTCTCTAAGATTTTAAGTGGATTTTAGTTGACTGTGTGGGCACCAGTTTGTTGTGGGAAGCTGCTTGTTAGTTCCCAGCTGCTCAGCCCCAAAATATTCTCACAGAAACTGTATTAATTAAATCACTGCTTAGCCCATTAGCTCTAGCTTCTTATTGGCTAACTCTTACATATTAATTTAATCAATTTCTATTAATCCGTGTACTGCCATGTGGCTGTGACTTACCAGGTAAATTTCTCAGCGTCTGTCTCTGGTGGGGCTACATGACTTCTCTCTGACTCTGCTTTCTTCCTTCTAGCATGTAGTTTAGTTTTCCCCACCTACCTAAGTTCTGTCCTATATCTCTGTTATAGGCCCAAAGCAGTTTCTTTATCAACTAATGATAATCACAGCATACAGAAAGGAATTCCACAATTTGAGTTTCTATAGTCTCAACCCATTTCCTGTTCTTCATGTCTGCTGTGTTGTGGTTGAAACTAATCAGTCAGCTTTCTTCTTTTGCTGTCATAACTTTCCACCATCATAAACGCTATCACTAAATCACACAAGGTTCGGTAGAATTAACTGCTATTTAGTGCTAAGGTAGTTTGGTAGCCTACTGTTTTCATTTTTGTTTGTTATATTTTGAAGACAAGGTTTGCCTGTGTAGCCCTAGCTGTCCTGAAAGTAGCCCCATATATCAGGCTGGCTTCAAACTCAGAGAACTTCTGACTCTGACTCCCAAGTGCTGGGATTAAAGGTGGGCTTTTTTGTTTTTATATTGTTGTATGGTGGTTTTGTTCCTATCAAGTATATGCTGTTGTACTGAGCTTCACCCATATCTTGAATTTTAAAATTCGACAGAGGGTATCATGTTTCCCAGGATGACATGTATTCATGACATTAATACTGTCTGTGCCTTCTGTGTTATTGAATTGTAGGTGCATAACCTTCTTCCTGCCTGTTTTGTTTGTTTTGAATTTTTATTTTAAAAAGAGTATTATATCTGAATGCATGGATATGCATCATGTGAATACCTGGTCCTTACATTGATCAAAAGATGGTATTAGAAACCTTGAACTTGGAATAATGGATAGTTATGATTCCCCCATGTAAGTCCTTGAGCCCACCTGTATGCATGACTAGGAGGACTCTTTGCTGTTGAGCCATCTTTCCTGCTCTGTGTTGATTATTTGTAATCAGCATATTAATTTCTATTGTTTTCATTTGTTCATTTGTAAGTTTTTAAACACAGTGCCTTTTAGTAAAATCTCATTTTTGTTGCAGTTTAAATTGGGCAACTGTGGGTTTCTTGTAGATGAATAAAGAGTTGAAGTGAATGCATAACTCTTTGTAGAAACTAAAGCAAAAACCTATGAGTTATTTCTAGCTTTTATGTTTTTTTTAATTGATATAATACATAATTTTATTAAAAAGCATATTTACTCTTTAACATCAATAATACAGTGTTCAGAAGGGTTGGGTTGTGAATATTATATTACAGGCAACCTGTATTATATTTCAGTTGACTTTTTACTTCATTGTAAGTAGCTCTTCAAGACTAAAGATCCCTCACAAAATATAGAAATATACATACTTATAGGAAACTTGGATAAAAGTTGATAAATTTTATTTTAGCAATGAATGAAACAGTTGTCTTTTGATTTCATGTATAAGATTAAATGATTATTTATTTAAAACATAATTCCTACTGTTATATTTTATATGATTAAATCTTGCTACACATCAAATTGTTGAACTGCTAATATAAATGTATTTAATATCTAAATATTGTATCATTTCTTGCACGAATTTATAGGTATTTACTTTTCAATGAATTTATAGTGGTTTATTTTCCATGTTTCAAAAACAGCATTAATATTCAGCTCTGTCAACATTGTTAAAATAGTTTTAAGCCATGTTATCTGAAAAAAGTTTTTTTTAACTCAACTGTAACCATTTTGTTTTTTTTCTTTTTTTTTAAAGTTTATTAAATTATGAAAGTTTTCATTTCCACCCCTCCTCCTAACACCCTCCCACTCCCCCCTCCCCCTCCTCCTCCCTCTTCATCCCTAAGAGCAGTCAGGGCTTCTAGCTTTTATGTTTGTCTGATTGATTTTTTTCCATGTGAAACAGGTATTTAACATGTATTTCTGGCTGCCCTAGAAGTGATTGCATGGACTAGGCTGGTATTCAACTCAGAGGCAGATAGATATACATGCCTCTGCCTTCTGAGTGCAAAGATTAGAGGCATGATTCAATGCATCCAGCTTTTTCATTTTTTTCTTTTTGTAGTTAGGAATTAATCATTCATACAATTTTTCTTATCTGTACTCTATACTGGTGATCTGTTTATGTATCTTTCATTGTTGGTTAGTAGGCATTTCTCTTGCAAGGTGATATCCCATTCAGAGGGTTCAGAAATGACAGAGGTGAACCTCCTATTCAGTTTGCTTCTGAAGTGACTTGGTAATTAAATTATGATGTCTTTGTCATGGAATAAGTATGGGGAGCTCCAGGATTAAATGACTATACTGTCAAGGAAGTATACATTTACAGTGTTGTCAAAATCATACTTTTTGTGTACACCTGTATGGGATATTTTAGAATTCAGTGACCTATGATGATGTGCATGTCGACTTCACTTGGGAAGAATGGACTTTGCTGACTCCTTCCCAGAAGAATCTCTACAAAGATGTGATGGTAGAGACCTACAGAAACCTCACTACTATAGGTAAGACTGTATTATCTTTCATGTTTCATATAAGGGGGCAACTATTCATTGGTTAATGATGCTCTTTTGTAATATGATTGAGAAAGAAGAATGGAGTAAATAAATCAGGCATGGTTATAAGGTTTGCTTCAAATGGTAACTAAATTTTTTACAATTCTTAATATAAAACATACAATTTCTGGCATTATATTTTAGGATACAGTTGGGAAGACCATAATATTGAAGAACATCGTCAAAATTCTAGAAGACGTGACAGGTAATTTTCATTTATAAGCTGATACAAATGTACCTCTGAAGAATTTATAATTAATCCTATATATTTTAAACAAAAGCAACAGTGTAAATAATAAAGAGCATTGATGTTTATTAAATTTCACAAAATCATATACCTTAATTTCAGATAGGTGAACTACATTTGAAAGTCATTCTTTTAAGAAAGAAGAAAACAATGTCTTAACCTATATTACCATTTGAATCAAAATACAATGAGAGCTATACTGTAAAGTTGTCAATCCATTTATCTCATATTATTCATATTATAAAAGATATACATTTTGAATAGGTGATAAGTAGATCTTTAAAACTATTTATTGCACCAGTAGTCCATAGAAAAGGTAGTTTAACCCATATACTTGTGACTGTTAAGTTTAGTGAGGGGCATTTAGGGTTAGGAATCAAGGGGCAGCTGTTTTGGAGTGGCCTTAATCCATATACCACAAGTCTATGAGGACAGAAAGTCAAACTGGGTAAACTCAATGTGGAAACTTTATATTTGTTATTCTTCCTTTACTAGGTACATCATATATTACTCTGGATACAAGCCACATGAGCATAGGGATGTGAAAAGATATAACATACCTCTCTCTCAGAACAAATAGAAAATATATAGCAGTCCCCATGTTGCATATACTTGTTGAATTTGATATACACGCATACAAGTAATTGGTTTTCTAGTGTCATTATTAATATATCAACAAACTCACATTTCAGAAAAGCACCATGAGTATTAGGACTGAATAAATACTTCTGTTTGTCCTAGTTCACTTAGCAAATGTAGCATCACTCACAATATAGGAAACGTTATGAATACAATAAGAGTTGTAAAGCTCTGAGTTTTTTCAGTTCTCTTCAAATACATGAAAAGTCTACTACAGAAAAAAAGATTCTGTAAATGTGAACCATGTATTAAAGGCTGTTATCAGTTATCTTCAGAGATGAAAAGCAAGCCTTAATGAAGGGGAAAAAGAAGATTGTAAACATGGTGATAAAACCTTAACATATAATTCCTCTTTAAGGTAGGACTAAATTGTAAAATTAATTTATTCAGATAAAAATATTCAACAATGTATTAAATGTAGTAATGCTTTCACATGTACCATTATCATTGTAGGCATGAAAAAATTCAAACTAGAAAGAAATGTTCTTCTTATACTCAATGTGGTAAAACCTTTGCATGTCACAGTCATCTTCACAGTCATGAAAAAACACATACTACATTAAGACCCTATGAAGGAAATGAGTTTGGTAATGCCTTTTCACATCACAGTCATCTTCAAATGGATAAAAGAATATGCACTGGAGAGAAATCCTATGAAAGTAATCAGTGTGGTAAAACATTTGTATATAACAGTGATCTTAAAAGGCATGAAAGTACTCATACTGGAGAGAAGCCCTATGAATATAATCAATGTGGTAAAGCCTTCACAAAGCACAGTCATCTTCAAACACATGAAATAACCCATACTGGAGAGAAACCCTATGAATGTAATCAGTGTGGTAAAG